AATATCTAGTAGCCAGAATACATAAAGAACTCTTATAACTGAACAAAAAACATAATCCAAAATGGGCAAAGGACTTGGATAGACATTTCTCCAAAGAAGATAAACAAATAGCCAATAAGCACGTGAAAAGATGTTGAATATCATTAATCAAGGAAATGCAAATCAGTCAAATGACACACCACCTCACACCCACTAGGATGTCCATAATTTAAGTGGTTGTAATGATGTGGAGAAAGTGGAACCCTAATACACTGCTGGTGGGAATGTAAAATGGTGCAGCCACTGTGGAAAACAGTTTGGCAGTTACCAAAAATGATAAATCAAGAGTTATCATATGAGTCAGAAGTTCCTTTCCTAAGGTTTAGTCCCAAGAGAAAACAGGTGTCCAAACAAAAACTTGTGCATGAATGTTAACAGCAGCACTAGTCCTAACAGTCAAAAGGGAGAAACAATCCAAATGCTCATCAGTTGAATGAATAAACAACATGGTATATCCACACAATGGAATATTATTCAGTCATAGAAAGGAATGATGTACTGATACGTACAACATGGATGAACCTTGAAAACAGTATACCAAGTAAAAGGGATAGTCATAAAGGGCCAGGTGTGGTGGCTGACACCTGTAATCCCAGCACTTTGGGAGGCTGAGGTGGGCGGATCACCCAAGGTCAGGAGCTCCAGACCAGCCTGGCCAACATGGTGATACCCCATCTCTACTAAAAAAAAAAGAAAAAGAAAAAGAAAAATTAGCCAGGCATGACGGTGGGTGCCTGTAATCCCAGCTACTCGGGAGGCTGAGGCCGAACTGCTTGAACCTGGGGGGCGGATGTTGCAGTGAGCCAAGATTGTGCCATTGCACTCTAGGCTGGGCGACAAGAGCAAAACTCAGTTTCAAACAAAAAAAAAAAAGAAAAATAGAAATAGCCACAAAGATCACATATTATGTGACTTCGCTTATTAGAAATGTCCAGAACAGCCAAACATATAGAAATAGAACACAGATAAGTTGTTGTTTAGGGCTGAGATTATGTATGTCAGGATGGGGGATGACAGCTAAATGACATGAAATTTCTTTTTGAAGTGATGAAAACATTCTAAAATTGTGGCAATGACTGCACAACTCTACAAATATACTAAAACCCACAAAATTGTACACTTTAAAAGTGTGAATTATACAGTATGTGAACTGTCTCTCCATAAAGCTGTTAAAAATAAAGGACACTAGAATAAGTAGGATGATTTGGATTTTCTATATCCTATTAAAGAAACTGAGTTCATGAGCAAAAACCAGGCACAAGAAAAACTCCAAGGCTAGACTACCTCACAGGTATGTTTTTCCAAACATTTAAGGATGAAATAACATCAATCTTAAACTTGTTCAGAGAACAGAAAATGAGTAACTGTTTCCAAACTCATTTTCTGAGAATATAATGTTGACGCCAAAACCTGACATTACATGACAGAAAAACTGCAAGCCAGTATCTTTCCATTAATGTAGACACAAAAATATTAATTGAAATATTAACAAATTGAATCCAGAAATAAAGTGATAGCACATGTGGGAATTATTCCAGGAATGCAAGGTTGGTTAAACATTGATAAATCTATCAATATAATTCACCTCTTTAACAGACTAAAGGAATAAAATTATATGATTATCTCACTAGATGCAAGAACAGCCATCTGACAAAATACTCATGCATGATTAAAAAAAAAAAAAAACTCAGGAAACTGAAAATAGGGAACTTCCTTATTTTAATTAAGGACATATACAAAAAACATGTAGTTAAAATAAGACTCAATGGTGAAATACTGAGTACCCCTCAGGTGAGGTATAAGACAAGGATTTCTATTATCACCATTTGTACTATACATTTTACTGGAAGTCCTAGCAGTAAGACTAAAAAGAAATTAAAGATATAAAAACTGTAAAGGAAGAAGTAAAATTGTCTTTTTTGCAAAAAAAATTTTGCATATTTAAAATCCAAAAGAATCCACAGATAAGCTATTGAATGAGTGAATTTTACAAAATGCCTAGGTATAAGATCAATACTAAAAAATCCATCATATTTTAATAAACCAACAATAAACTGGAAAATTACATTTAAAATGCAGTATCATTTGTGCTATTATCAAAATAGATCAAATACCTAGGAATAAATCTAATAAAAGATGTGAAAGACTTCACCTCTACTCTGAAAAACTTTCCATCAGGATTTTCTGTGAAAACTGATAAAACTTCCATGAACATGAAAAGGGCCTAAAACAGTAAATAAATTCACTAAAATTCGTGACTTACTATAAAGCAACAGTAATTATGACAGTGAAGTACCAGCAAAAAGATAACATAATTGGACCAAAGGAAGAAAATATACAGTCTACATCAGACCTGCATACAAGTCACTTGACTGACAAAAGACACAGCTGCAATTCAGTTGACAGAGGATGGTCTTTCTAACAAATGGTGCTAGAGCAACTGGATATCCATACGGAAATATGAACCTTGACACTCACGTTACACCAAACACAAAAGCTAACTCTATGTGGATCAAGCTAAAATAAACAAATACGTAGTAACAATATAGGAGAATATCTGTATGATCTTAGAGTAGGGAAAGAACTTTCAAATATGATACACAAGGAACTGCCATTAAAGAAAAGACGATTCTGACCTTTATTAAACGTAAAAACTTTGTTGTCAAAGATATTATTTAAAAAATGAATAGGGATGTCACAGAATCCAAGAACATTAGTAATGCACAAATAGCAAAAAAAAAATTACTGAAAATATTGAAATAATTCCTACTTAAAAAAAAGCAAATAACCCAATTAAAACAGTTGAATAGGTACTTTACATATTACATAAAAGGAAAGGATGTCTAAATGGTCAAAACACAAACAATGGTGCCCAACATTAGTATTTACCATAGAAAAGCAAATTATAAATTTTGATGATACTACACTATACAGTCACCAAAATGGCTAAAAACAAAAAGATTGATAGTAACAAGTGTTGCTCAGAATCTAGTATAGCCAAAATGCTAGTGAGAATGCAAAGTGATTCAACCACTTAGGCAAGTTACTTGTAGTATGTATTAAAGCTGAACATATGTTTATTTATGAACCAGCAATTCCATTTCTAGGTATATCCCAAAAGCAATGAGGACATACCAAAAGACACAAAAGAATATTCACAGCAGTCTTATTCCTGATAGCCTCAAACAGGAAAAGCAAATGAAAAATTGGACTAAGAGGAGAATGAGGAAATAAATTATGGTCTATTCATACAATGAAATACAGCCCAGTGATAAAAGCAAAATATTAAGATACGGAGGAAAACATTCCCTTGAAAACCGTAAAAGAATACATTTTGTATGATTCTATTGGTATGATATTCAAAACGAATTTATCTTTTTTCCCTAACATATGAGGTCAGAATAGTGGCTGCCCTGTAGAGGGGAGCAGTGGTGTTATCTTAATCTGGGTATTAACTTACATGAATTTACATATGTAAAAATTCATCCAGTTATACACTTCAGAGTACACTTTACTGGTGTTAAAACTGCATCTCAGTTAAAGAACTAAGTTTTTAAAAGGAAAAAAGAGTATATAAAAGAGAAAGAAAAAATTAACAAAATATATATAGTTGGTAATTTGGGAAGGTGGGAACATATTAATTATATTACTTCTTTGTATCTATGTTTGAACAATTTCTCAATTCCTTACAGGAAAAGGAAATTTGGACATAGATTCATACAGAGAAAGATGATGTGAGGACAGACATCTAAGCCATGAACAAGGTCCTTCCCTCACAGCTCTCAGAAGGAACCAAACCTGTTGACATCTTTTTTTCCTTTTTCGGGATGGAGTCTCGCTTTGTCGCCCAGGCTGGAGTATAGTAGCACGATCTCAGCTCACTGCAACCTCCGCCTCCCAGGTTCAAGCAATTCTCCTGCCTCAGCCTCCCGAGTAGCTGGGATTACAGGCTCCTGCCACTACACCCAGCTAACTTTTATATTTTTAGTAGAGACAGGGTTTCACCATGTTGGCCAGGCTGGTCTTGAACTCCTGACTTCAAGTGATCTGCTCGCCTTGGCCTCCCAAAGTGCTGGGATTACAGGCGTGAGCCACTGCCCCCAGCCCCTGTTGACATCTTGATCTCAGACTTCTGGCCTCCAGAATGGTGGGAAAATAAATTGCTGTTTAATCTACCCAGTCTATGATTCTTTATTATGGCAGTCCTAGCAAACTAATACCCCTAGTCTGGCTCTAACCTTTATCTCCCTCCCCTCTCTTATTATTCCCTAAGAGGAACTCCAAATTGCAATGGGCAAAAATTCTTACTGGACCTTGCATGCCTTGTTTAGCCCACTCTCAAAATGCAGTAATCTGTACTGCGACAATGAAAACCTTACCCATTGTTCAGGAAAATCCTTTTAAACTCTCCACCTCTGATCAACAGAGCCTGCACCATCAATCTGTCCTTTCTTTGACAATCTGTCTACCTGAACCTCTGTTTCTGTTACCTGAAAAACTGTATTCATAAAAGCCTGAGTTTGGCACTAAGCCCCCTACTTCCACTGAGGGAAAAGCAGAAGCAACATACTGCATTTATTTCAAGGCTGTTATTAGAAAGATTTGCACTGACACTTACGTGAAGACCAACAAAGACATTTTTCCTGACTTTGATAACTTTAGATCCCATGAGGAATCAGCCTGGTTTAAGCTTCTCATCAATGCAAATCTGTAAACAAATATTGTCTGTCTGACTCTCTGCCATGGCTATCAGAAAGAATGAAAACTGCAGTTCCATTTCGGAAAATCTGTAACATCAGGAGACCTGCATCTTTCCACGTGCCAATTCTGCTGTGCCACTGCCCTGCTTTTCTATACATTCCTGGAATGATTTTGATCCATTTCTACATTTCCATATTAATATGTGGACCCTTAAACACCTATGAAATCCATGATGAAAAAGGTGTTAGTAAATAACTCACCTGAGATATGTTCATTTTCTGCTGCTCCTGAAAGAGTGTGGAGAACCGTAAAGGATAACCTGGGGGTGAGGAAGGAGTCATGAGATATCTGGGCAGCCTCTATCTTACCTGCCTACCAATGTCATCACACGAGCTGGGGAAAACGACCTCTCTATGAAACGTGTTCCTTTGACCCTTGAGAAGGGACAGGAAGCACTACAGAGAAAGCACCTCCTGAATATGTGCATCTTTAATATGATCATGTGGATGAACCCTTGCTGATTTTTCTTCTTTTTCTTTTTTTTTTTTTTTTTTTTTGAGACAGGATCTGGCTCTGTTGCCCAGGCTGGAGTGCAGTGGTGTGATCTCAGCTCACTGCAACGTCTGCCTCCCGGGTTCACACGATTCTCCCATCTCAGCCTCCTGAGTAGCTGGGACCAAAGACACCCACCAATACGCCAGGCTAATTTTTCTATTTTTTGTAGAGACGGGGTTTTGCCATGTAGCTTAGGCTGGTCTCGAACTCCTGACCTAAAGCAACCTGCCCACCTTGGCCTCCCAAAATGCTGGGATTGCAGGGGTGAGCCACTACGCCTGGCTCCTTGCTGTTTTTCATCAGGTGATTACAGATTATTTTCCTATTGATTTATTTAAAACGTATGTCTTTGACAAAAAACTGAAACAGAATTAACATTAATATTCTGTTAATATTATTTACACCAATAGAAAACACAAAACTGAATAAAAAGAGATGCTGAAAGACAGACTATTTTAAAATCTTTTTGTTCTAACTTATAGTTTCTCAAAAAGACTTTCGATAAGACACTTCTGGGGACTCACCTGTGACAGAGCAAACAGCACTGTGCTTTGCTACAAGCTCTGTCCTGAGTGACCATGGACAAACTGTTCATCCCAGGTTCAACACTTCTTAAGGTTTTAAAAGAGTCAGAAATAGAAATCCTTTCCTGTATTATCATTTTTGTGATTCTACAGGTTCAGGATACAGGCAACCTTAGAAAATCTCTAGATGCTACATGTGATAGATGTGTGTGAAACTGACTCAGAATCTGGTAAGAGTGAGGCTAGCATGAAGAAAATGGAGGCTGTAGGAGGAGGATTAAAGACAGAATTTCCTCAGCCCTGGCCGGTTATGCCTTCCTTGCAGACCACGGAGAAAAGCCCTCCAATAATGTGGCTTTTCCTGTGCAGTCTGACAGTAACCCATCCCTCCCAACCCCAGCTTACCACCTTCTGCAAGTTGGCCCACAGTATTCAGTGTCACGCAATCTGTGATGGCTTCTGGATGTGGCGACATCACCAAGTCTGGAGCTTTCTGGGCAAGGGGATAAAGAACTGCTGCCCGTTGGGCAAATCAAGACCTACTCCTCTCTGGGTTCTTCTGCATCTGTTCGGAAGCCCTCGTGACGAGGTCTCCGTTCTGTCAGAGGGCAGTTCTTTGGTGGGACTCGTTCCTGGGGCTCCCTCCTTCCTGCAACATAAAGAACTGCTTTGTTCCAGAGAAGCTGGGGCTGAGGCCTGGGTAACGAATTCATTTTAGTTGCAACTTTCATGGAAAGCAGTGTTCTTCACCTCAGCACAACTTACATTTTGGGCTGGATAATTCTCTGACGTAAGGAGCAGTGCTGTGCATTTTAGGATGTTTAGGAGCATTTCTAAACATGCACTAGACATTAGGACACCCCTTCTCCCTGCTGTGACAATCAAAAATGTCTCCAGGCTGGGCGCGGTGGCTCACGCCTGTAATCCCAGCGCTATGGGAGGCCAAGGCGGGTGGTTCACCTGGGTTCAGGAGCTCAAGACAAGCCTGGCCAACATGGTGAAACCCCACCTCTACTAAAAATACAAAAAAATTAGCTGGGCATGGTGGTGCATGCTTGTAATTCCAGCTGAGATTACAAGCTGGGAGGCTGGGGCAGGAGAATCACTTGAACCCGGGAGGTGGAGGTTGCTGTGAGCTGAGATCACACCACGGCACTCCAGCCTGGGCCAGAGAGCGAAACTCAGGACCCCCCCTGCTCCCCACCAAAAAGTCTCCTGACATTTCCAAAGTTCCCTGGGGAGCAAAATCCTCCTGGTGAAGAACTCACCTAAGGCCTTAAACCTGATTCTCTTGGCATTCATTAGAACCCTGCTATCCATGACTACAGCCTCCAATCACATCAACTACTGAGCACTTGAAATGTGGCTAGGGCCACATGTCCAAATAACATTTTGGACACATTGAGAAAACCACAGTATGTTCTTAAAATTAATTTCATGTTTTAGATTTTCATGTAGCTAATTTAGCATTTAAAATTACACATGTGACTCATCTTCACTGCCCTAGAGTATCAGACTGACTTCTAAAGACACAGACAGCAGGGACAGCACAGGAGGTGGCAGAAGCCTCAGTCTAACCCAGAGGCTCTGGAGACATCCCAGAAACCCCATAACAAATACACTTGCCACATAGTAGGATTCTGTCCACGCTGACCTAACAATCATTGTCCTGGGGTTTTGGGGACAAGTCACTCACCTCGTGCTGTGAAGGTTGCAATGCTGGGTTAGGTACGTGGGTCATTACAAACAGCCTGATTCGGGGAGTAAAGTGTATATGTGTTGACATCCTAGTTCCCTCATCCTTTGTGAGCCTGGCTCTGCCATTTCACCCCTCCTTCATTTTTAATGATATAAATAGTGTGGTTGTGAGAATTAAATGAAATACTACATGAAAAGAACAAAGTGTCTTCCAAATATAACGGGAATCAACATTTACATGCTGCTTAGTAACTAGCGCTGAGCTAAATGCTTTACAGGTGATGGCTTATCTCTGAACGACACAAAGCAGTTTTTACTAATATCCTCAGTTTCAAACGCTCCAGTGACAGAGCCAAAGTTCACCAGGTCCTTCCAGCTCCTAGGCTCGGGCTCTCACCGCAGACCCACGGACCATATGCGCTTTGTGGCAGGTTCAGGGTCAATACAATAAATGCATTTCCCTCCTGCAGCCAGCGCCTCGTTTTTCGACGCCTGGCTGCATTCTGGCACCCACACCTCGACCCGCACCGAGCATCATCCAACAAGGACCGAGCCCCACCTAACGTCCCCGGAGCCCTCCCCCACCGGCCCTTCTCAGGCTGGGGTCCCGGGCCGCCCCGGGCACAGGGAGCGGAAGGCCTGCTTTTGGGGAGTTCCCGGGACGTCGCGTTCCCGCCCCCTGGACACTAGCCCATCCCTCCCTGCAGGTCCGCAATCCGCGCGGGGAGCCGGCGCTCTCACCTGAGTTGCGAACCCTCCGCACCCGCACACAAGGAGAGGTGGAAGCTGGAAAGTGGGGCGACTGCACATGCGCAGAGGAAAACGCAGGATATCCGTTCCCAGCATGCTGCGCGGTAACCCCTAACCTAAGTTTGACAGGAAGTACGGCGCCAGCTCTCGGTGTTTTTTGTTTGTTTTTGTTTTCCCCCCAAGCGTTACGGAGAAATAACATGGACGGTCCTGATAACTGGAGCCCGGGTTCTGTCAGAGCCCCAGAGGTTGTGGGTTAGACTTGAGGACATAACAATAAATGCAGCGTGTGATTGCAGAGAGCAAGAGCTGCGGAAGACGTTTGAAAACAATTGGAAAATTTGTATACGGACTGGAAATTAGAATTAATTGTGGCAACATTAGGATTATGTAGGTAATCTTGCTTATTCATAAAGAGATGTATATTTAAGTGTTTAGGATCGTATTATGCTTGTAAGTTTTTGGTTTTTATTTTTTTTTGAGACGGAGTCTCACTCTGTCGCCAGGCTAGAGTGCGGGGGCACGAACTTGGCTCACTGCAAGCTTCGCCTCCCGGGTTCGAGCGATTCCCCTGCCTCAGCCTCCCAAGTAGCTGGGACTACAGGTGCCCGCCACCATGCCCAGCTGATTTTTGTATTTTTAGTACAGACGGGGTTTCACCAGGTTAGCCAGGCTGGTCTCGAACAACAGACCTCAAGTGATCCTCCTGCCTCGGCCTCCCAAAGTGCTGGGTATACAGGCGTGACCTACCCGCCCCGCCCGTTTGTAAGTTCTTTAAAAAAAATAATTAGAATCAAGACCATCCTGGCTAACACAGTGAAACCCCGTCTCTACTAAAAAAATACAAAAAACTAGACGGGCGAGGTGGCGGGCGCCTGTAGTCCCGGCTGCTCGGGAGGCTGAGGCAGGAGAATGGCGTAAACCTGGGAGGCAGAGCTTGCAGTGAGCTGAGATCCGGCCACTGCACTCCAGCCTGGACGACAGAGCGAGACTCCGTCTCAAAAAAAAAAAAAAAAAAAAAATTAGAAATGGCAAGTATGGCAAAATGTTAACAATATCTCCTTCTAGATTATGGACATGCTTATTGACTACTTGCTCTTTATGTGTTGGAAAATTTTGTAATACAAAGTTTATAAAGGGACAAATTTGGACTGTCATGTTGCAAGTGTGCCTTTTAGAGCTGCCACAAAAATATATAAACAGTTTGGTGACTAAAGCTGTAAAATGTAACAAATACTAGAAAATGGAATCCATTATTGACATAAAATAATAATATTTGTGATCCTGAGAGTTTATCTCTGGGGAAAAAAAAGAAAAAGCAAGTAAGCTGTTCAGTATTACATAATGCCTGAAGTACACACAATCCCAAATAAGAAAACCATTATCCACAAATTATGCATCTCTTAGAGATGAGCTTGCTTAAACTTTATGTGGTATGCTTCTGAAATCAGGAACAAAATTAGAAACCTCTCAGAACAGTATTTTATGACACTCTTTTTAGTAACACACATACACTCGCACGGTTGATACTAACAGGTTATTTTATATAGCAATGATAAGAATAAGTTCTGATTAGCAAGAAAAAAGATTAATGGTAACAGTAAACTAGTGCAGTATGTGTGAATCAAGGTATAAAACTACTGTTGACACTGAAAAACACTTTAATAGATACTGGAGGAAAAGACTAACATTTGTTTTTTAAAATTCTAATCATCCAGGTTTTCTAAGTATATCTTTTTCTTTTTTATTTTCATTTTTTTTTGAGACGGTCTCGCTCTGTGGCCCAGGCTGGAGTGCAGTGGCGAGATCTAGGCTCACTGCAAGCTCTGCTTCCTGGGTTCACGCCATTCTCCTGCCTCAGCCTCCTGAGTAGCTGGGACTACAGGCGCCAGCCACCACGCCTGGCTAATTTTTTTGTATTCTTAGTAGAGACGGGGTTTCACCGTGTTAACCAGGATGGTCTTGATCTCCTGACCTCGTGATCCGCCAAACTGGGAGACATCCCCCACTAGGTGCAGACCAACACCTCACACCTCACACGGCAGGGTACACCCCTGAGACGAAGCTTCCAGAGCAACAATCAGACAGCAACACTCGCTGTTCAGCAATATTCTATCTTCTGCAGCCTTCGTGCATTGAATTATGAAATTCTTGTAGTGTGTTTGCCAGCTCTATCAAGTCAGTTATGTTCTTTTCTATAATGGCCATTTTGCCTGTCAACTCCTGCACTGTTGTATTGCAAATCTTAGCTTCGGCTTCCTGAGATGGAGTTTCATCGTTCTCCTGAATGATCTTCATTCCTATCCATATTCCGAATTCTATTTCTGTCATTTCAGTCATTTAAGCCTGGTTAAAAACCATGATCGAGAACTAATGCAGTCGTTAGGAGGAAAGAAGATACTCTCTGGCTTTTTGAGTTGTCAGAGTTCTTGCACTAGTTCCTTCTCATCTTCATGGGCTGATGTTCTTTCAGTCTTTTAAGTTGTTGTCTTTTAGATTTTTTTCTTTTTTAAATTATACTTTAAGTTCTAGGGTACATGTGCACAACATGCAGGTTTGTTACATATGTATACATGCACCATGTTGGTTTGCTGTACCCATTAATTCGTTATTTACATTAGGTATTTATCTTAATACTATCCCTCCTCCATCCCCCTACCCCACCACAGGCCCCAGTGTGTGATGTTCCCCACCCTGTGTCCAAGTGTTCTCATTGTTCAGTTCCCACCTATGAGTGAGAACATGCCTATGTGATGACCTTAGGGGTTTGATTTTGGCATAAGGTGGGTTGAGTTGACTGGCTTTGTTACTGGAAAATTTTAGGGGACCAAGACTCACCTCAGGACTCCTGGACTGCATGCTGTAACTCTGGGGGACTTATATCAGGCCCTAGCTTTGTTCTCTGGCTCCTTGACATTTGGAACCTGCTGCGCTGGAGGGGTTGAGGTGCTCCCAGACCACAGGTCACAATACTCTGATGGGAGGTCCCAGCCAAAGCACTTTGTAGGGTGGTGGCAGCAGGATCCATCCTCATTTGCATGTGCTAGCAGCAGTGGCAGTGACAGCACAGTGTGGTCCATGCTCATCAGCTGCAGCATGGTGCCAGCGGGTGCCAGTTTGCGAGCGTCTCTGTGGAAATTCACAGAAGTGGTCATGGTAGTATGGTGTGGGGCTAGGGTGGAGGCCCCTGCCAGCAATTGTGTGCACATTCATGCCAGTTGTGGTGTTAGCACAGGGGTGGGATGCTGATGAGCACAGGACTGTGCACCCTCTGTGTATATTCATGCTGGTGGTGATGGCCACTCAAGGTGGGTGTATTAGTCTGGTCTCGTGCTGCTATAAAGAACTGCCTGAATACTGGGTAATTATTAAAGGAAAGAGGTTTAACTGACTCACAGTGTAGCATGGCTTGGGAGGCCTCAGGAAACTTACAGTTATGATGGAAGGGGAAGCAAACACATTCTTCTTTACATGACAGCAGGAAGGAGAAGTGCCAAGCAAAGGGGGAAAAGCCTCTTATAAAACTATCAGATATCATGAGAACTCATTCACTATCACAGGAACAGCATGGGGATAACTGCCTCCATTATTCAGTTACCTCCAACTCGGTCCCTCCCATGACACAGAAGGAGGAAGAGCCACATACTTTTAAACAACTAGATCTTGTGTGAACTCAGAGTAAGAACTCACTTATCACCAAGGGGATGGTGCTACAGCATTCATGAGTAATGTACCCATATGATCCAATCACCTCCCCCTCCAGGCCCCACCTCCAACATGGGGAATCACGTCACAACATGAGATTTATTTTATTTTATTTCTTGCTTATTATTCTTTTTACAACATGAGATTTAGAGGAGACAGACATCTTGACCATATCACAAGGTATGCCAATAACATCATCAGCAGAAATTTTGGACGCCAGAAGGCAGTGAGTTGATATGTTCAAAATGCTGAAGAAAAAAAAAAACTCTTTCAACCAAGAATCCTATATCTGGATGGAGATATGACAGAAAGATTAATGACTAGATGTTCCTGGTGCTTTTCCCAAAGAGGGAGCTGCAGCTGCACCCTTTCTCCATGGCCTGAGCCGTTATGGTGCCATGACATCTTAGAACTGGAGCCACTGCTGCTCTGTGCTCTACTTCAGGGACCTTAGAAGACATTGTGCCCTTCATTCCCGGGGCTTGCTGCCACTGTACCCCATACCCCCAGAACCTGGGTTGCACAGTGATGCACCATTTTTAAGCTGAGTTGCTGATGTACCCCACTCCCTGGGGCCAGACTACTACAGAGCTGCTCCATCCTCCTGGGTCCCAGTTGCTGCTGTGTCTGGCCTTTCTGGGCATGAGTGGAGTCAATGCCTTGCTGGGAATCAGAACTGTGGCTAAGTGATGCAGCTCCACTTCCTGGGGCTGAGCTGACACAGTGCCCCACCTCTTCAGAAATTGTAGCTGTGGCTATGCTGTGCAGCCCCACCTCCTGAGGCTGAAGTGTCATGGTACCCCATGGCTACCCAGAAACCAGAACTTCAAATGAGCTGTGCAGCCCCCACTCCCCAGGAACCAAAACTGCAGTTGTGTTGTGTGATGGCTCCTTAAGAACTAGAATCACTCCTTGCAATCTAAGCTGCTGAGGTGCTCCACATGGGGAATGGAGTCATCTTTGTGGCACCTGCCTCTTGGGGCATGAACTATAGCTGTGCCCTGCCACTCCTGGGTACTTGCCACCACTGTAGCCTGTCTACCAGAGCCTGAGCTACTATGATGTTCCACCATCCCAAGATTTGGAGTCACTATTGTATGGTGTCCTGTTCCCTGGGGCCTGAGTTGCTGCTGTACTCTGATGCTCCTATGACCTAAATTGATTCTCTGCCCCACACTCTGGGGCCTGAGCCTCTAAAGCACTTGTTCATTCCCTGAGCCATGTCATTACTGCACTCTGCCACCCAAAGTCAAAGTCAGAGCTCATAAACAATTAGAAAACAAAATACAAAATGGCAGCAGTGTATCTTCACCTATCTGTAATAACCTTGAATGTAAATGGACTAAATTCACCAAGCAAAGGACATAAAGTAGCTGAATGGATAATGAAATGAGATCAAACTATATGCTGCCTATAAGAAGCTCACTTTAGCTTTCAGGACTATTGTGTGTGTGTGTTTCTTCTTTCTAATTTGCTCTTGAGGTCTCTCTCAAGAGAGTTGATAGAGACTTTAGCTCTTTTATGATGGGACTTCAAAGGATTTGGTGATGGATGTTTACATTGTACTTTTCTTAGGATACTTCTTTACTCTGGCAGACAGTCTAATGCCTAAGTGTTTGACCTGTGGTCAGGTGTCCCTCTCACAGGAAACTCGTTTATACTGGCAGATGCTCTTGTCTGTCCTGTGTTCAGCTTATTCCTGCCAAGACAGCCACTCTCTAGGAGAGCCCTGACCAGGAAATAATTTATTTT